ACTATAAGCAGATGAAAACACAAGCAGGATTGCAATAATACTTGCAGTGTAGCAAGAGCTGTGGAGATAATGGAGTTACAGGTATATAAAATATGGACTGTTGGGAAAGATTCAGTAGAAAAGGTTTAGCAATAGGAGCCATAGAGACAAAGGTGGGAAGTCCAGAGATTCGGAGGGATTTTTTAAACTGTTGATGTGTATGGTTGTATTGTTATAATTTTATATTTGTAAAATCAAATAAAAATTATTTTTTAAAAAAACACTTCTAGGGGTCAAGGTCCCTTTGCCCCACCCCAATAAAATATTTGAGGGGACTGGGCCTCCCCAAAGTTGATGGGCGTTGCCATTCAAATGGTGTCTGTGTGCCACATCATGTGATTGATTATGTGGGGTGGGGGTTACCTGGCCCTCCCCCCAATATTTTATTCAAGTTGGCACCCTGATATGAGAAATAAGGCCGATACATTAGGAAAGAGAGGTTAAACTATTTCAGGTACACAAAATTTCAAATGAGAAGAAACACAAGAGCAATGAGTTCTCTGTTATACTACTATCAAAGACAGTCAAATGTCTTATCTACACAAGTTTTAAAAAATGATAATGTGAGAGTCAATTCAACAACAACAGGAACATAAACTCAAATCTCATCTGATTTTGGTACACAGTTGCCAGCTTCCACTTCCTGAAGATTAATCACTTCTTATAAACCACATACTAAGAATGCATGAAGATTTCACTTTTGGGGGAGGGGGGTAAATAAATTTTTATTGGTTTTACAACTTCAACTTCAACAGTTATTTTCCATCAAAAAAGAAAGAATGAGAAATACAAAATATCCAACATGAAGTAATAGAACTAAAGTAAACAAAAACAAAAACAAAATATATTTTGGGAGGTTCTCTTTAACCTCCTGACTTCCCTCCATTTCCTTTCCTGGTTCAAATGTCTTATCTACGCAAGTTTTAAAAAATGAGCATGTAAGGATCAATTCAACAACAACAGGATGGTAAGGAAAATAAACTCAAATCTCATCTGATTTTGGTACACAGTTGCCAGCTTCCACTTCCTGAAGATTAATCGCTTCTTATAAACCACATACTGAGAATGCATGAAGATTTCGCTTTTTTTCTTTTTGGTGCTGTACTTAACTGGAAATGAAAATGCCCAGGGCTCTAGAAAATTTGTACGTGTCCAGTTCAGAACTATATCTTGAAAACATATAAAGTAGTGCTGCGGAAGCAAACAGGTTCTATTTAGGGTTTGGTCTTATTCGAAATATCACCTGCCAGAACTTTCAATGCAAAATCAGAGGTTAATTGGGTGTCAAATCCTCCCGGGGAGGATAATATTTCTATGCTGCCTTTCATCAAAGTTGTTACAACAGGAGCACAATCGAAATAAAACAAATATATACTGAATAAAGTCAGATGCTATCCTGAGCCGCAATCAGTCTGTTAAAAATGCAGGTGAGTACAGTCTTGGGCAATGCAGAGAGAGAGATACACTAACATGTGACTGTCACTGTGGACGGTTTGGAAACTTCAACTGGTGCAGAACTCAGTGGCCAGGTTGCTCACCAGAGCAAGGTGGTTTGAGCATATACCACTCTCCAGGGGTCCCAGGTCCTTGCCCAGAGTTCATGTTTCCTTTAGGAAATGAAGCATAGCAAAGACTGTGATGTCACTAGTATATATGGTTTGTTTGCACATAGATACACTGAGCCTACAGTGATTCACAGCATTAACACCCCCAAACGGTCTTGTTTTTCCCCATACACAAAGCCTTGGATGCAAACAGGTATTAAACATGGTGCTTCCCCTCTCTGGCTTTTCAGCTTGTTGCTTTTCTTTTCCATGGCATCACTCCTAACCTGTTGAGGCAGTCTATCTGCTATCCCAGTATGTTTCCAAGCACAATTCAAAGTGTTGGTAGTGACCTTTAAAGCCCTAAACGGCCTCGGTCCAGTATACCTGAAGGAGTGTCTCCACCCTAATTGTTCTGCCCGGACACTGAGGTCCAGCGCCGAGGCCCTTCTGGTGGTTCCCTCACTGCAAGAAGCCAAGTTACTGGGAACCAGGCAGAGGGCCTTCTCGGTAATGGCACCCGCCCTGTGGAACACCCTCCCACCAGATGTCAAAGAGAAGAACAACCACCAGACTTTTAGAAGGCAGCCCAGTTTGGGGAAGCTTTTAATGTTTAACAGACCACTGTATTTTAATACTTTGTTGGAAGCCACCCAGGGTGGCTGGGGAGACCCAGCCAGATGGGCGGGGTATAAATAATAAATTATTATTATTATCTTGTAGAAGCCCTTTGTCCTCTTGATGGCCCATGAGTCAGGAGTCTATCCTGTCTTAATTAGCTCTTAACACTTACTAAATCCAGGGATTAGAATACTTATAACAATATAATGTGAATCCTGGCCCGATTGCACTGGCTACCAATTAGTTACTGGCCCTAGTTCAAAATGCTGGTATTGACCTATGAAGCCTGAAGCAGCTCAGGACCACAATACTTCAAGGACCACTTCTCCCCATAAGAAGCAACCCAGACCATGCGGTCATAATCTGAGGCTCTTTTTCATGTGCCTCCTCCACAAGATGTCCAAATGGCAACAACATGAGAACGGGCCTTTTCTGCAGTGGCTCTCCACTTCTGGAATGCTCTCCCCAGGGAGGCTTGCATCGTTTCTTCATTCCAGGTATTTAGGCACCATGCAAAAACATTCCTCTTCTCCCAGGTCTTTGGCTAATTAAACAATCTATGGCCTTATTTCTGTGGAGGGTATTGTTGTTGTTTGCTCCCATGGAATGGATTTTTGTGTTTTTATATTGTAAACCACCCAGTGATCCCTGGATAAAGGGTGGTATAGAAATTTAAATAATAATAATAATAATAATAATAATAATAATAATAATAATAAAGGTATAATCAGAATATATAGAAGCAAAGGGTGGTTTGGAGTACTTGATCCCAAATATCCACAAAGCAGAGGATTTTCTAAACGAGAAGAATTTGCCTCCCATGTCTCCATTTCATATGTGTGTGTGTGTGTGTGTGGTTGTGCTCACACATCTGTGAGCAAGAGAGAGAGAAATGGATGGATGTTGAGAGGCTTTTATTTTTCCCAGGATCATCTCGCAACATCACTCTGCCACGGTACTCAGGAAAGCAGTATTGTACAAGAGAAACAAAGTGATAGCGCAAGACTAAAGTGTCAGCCCCCTAGAGTCTGTTAATGGTGTGATAACTCTCACTGCAGTGTGAACATCTTCAGTACTATTACAAGACTTTCCCTCTAAGCAACTTGTTTCTACGACAACTTTTTAGCCCTTTTCGGCCCCTGCGCAGTAACAGCACATGCACACACTTTCCACCTAAGCGTATGTACCCCACAAGGTATAAGGCAAAAGGGATGACAGAAGCACAAGCATCAGTTTTAGGGCTAAACTTTGACTAAATTATTTTGTTCAGCTCCCCCCCCCACACACACACCTGTTGTTTGTTGCCTGCTAACCATCTTCCCCTGATCTGCCGCTTCTGGGTTGTTTGGGGGGACAGGGGATGGCTGGGCTGAACTCAGAAGATGAGTAGGCTGCTGCCTGGTTGGCAGTGAATTTGTGACAGGGCCTTCTCAGTGGTGGTTCCCCATTTGTTGAATGCCCTCTTTCGTGGGGTGCATCTATCTCCCTCGTTATTGACTTTCAGAAGAGTTAAAAACATTCCCGTTTAGTCTGGCATACAATGACCAAAAGATACTGACCATGGCGGCCTTGAAATTAGCAAATGTAAGAATATGCAACTGCTTTTAAGTGTTTTGAAGGTAGTTTTAAATTGTGTTTAAACATTTTAAATATGTTTTATTTCAAATAATATTTTTAAACATTTTGATGCTTGCCATCCTGGGCTCCTTTGGGAGGAAGTGGGGGATAGACATCTAATAATAAAATGTGAAATAAATAAACACACACTGGTTAGCTTGTAATTAATATCAGCTCTTTCCTGTTTGGGGTAGAAATTACTCGTCTTATTTCCCAACTTATCTTATGTTTCATAATGAGAGTTTGGACAGCTTGTAGTACTTATGCAAGTTACAAAATAAATGTTATTTCCTTGCCCCCACACTTGTTCTGAATGATTGCCAAACTATTGTAGGGTAGGCAATACGTTGTTTAACTTTGTGGTTTTGCTGTAAACCCTTTCATATAGTTGCAACTGTAAATGAAACTCACACAGTTTCAAGCAGGAATGCCGTTTACAAAAGAATGCTCTGTTATCTGAGTAAATAAAATAACCATTTATTATTATTTTCCCTTTTCGTGAATACCGGGTCTGAAATATGCACATGATTTACAAATATCCATCATGTAGAATTGCAGTTTTTAAAATATCACTTTATTCCATACACTTTGAGACCCTTTCTCCCATGTACAACACTGTTCCGCACTCACCAAAGTTTGCATTTTCCTGGTTCAAAACGTTGATTCCCCGCCCCACCCCACCCCAGCTTATAGCTGCACTATGGCCACAGCTTAGCTGCTTACTAAGGCAGGATATCATGGTCATATGAAATAACTGAAATTGAAATAATTGCACCGGCTGCCAATTAGCCACCTAGCTAAGTTCAATGTTTTGGAGCATAAAGCTTTAGGACATCTTGGGACCTGAAATACAGACTCACCCAGCGCATCACTGTTGTCTGCAGGTGTGGTCCATCATATCAGAAAGTCCCTTCCACACAATATAGGAATCAGGTCTTTAGTGTTGTGACATCTACCCTTTGGAATTCCCTCCCCAACTGAGCACCATCTCTGTTGTCTTTTCAGCACTGACTGAAGGCCTTCCTCACCCAACAAGGCTTTTAACTTGAGACCTTTCCCAGTCTACAAACAATCATTTATTGTTTGCCACTCTGGGCTCCTTTTGGGAGGAAGGGTAGCTTATACATTTGAAATAAATAGATAGTACATCAACGTAAGAAGGATGTAGCATTTGCTGGAGCCAGGGAGCTTGCTCAGTCGGTAGAGCGTGTGACTCTTAATCTCAAGGTCATGAATTCGAGCCCCACATTGGGCAAAAAATGATCCTCATGGTTCGTTCCAACTCTACAATTCTATGGTTCTACGTGTACTGGGGAAGTAGGGTGGCAAATTTGTGCAGAGCCCTCTTCTGCCTGAGGGGCATTTTTAAAAGTTCAGAGAATGTGCCTTGCACCTTACATTCCCAGGGAGTGTAGAAGGCAAATGTACTTACGCAATGATGATTCATGGAGCATATGGCAGTTTTACGTACACACTGTGATGGCCTGGGATTCGGATTCGGATGCTGAACCTGAGGAATCCCAGCCTGCACAGGATTCCCTGCCTCCAGAACCAGCTGAGCTGGGGCTGGGGCCTGAGCCTGAAGGGTCCACACCTGTGCTGGATCCTCAGGTGCAGGCACCATCTGAGTCTGCTCTGGCTCCTGAGGGGGTGGAGGACCTATTGCCTGCAGGTGCTCCACTCTCAGCCCCGTCAGGGGAAGCTGAGGTTGCCTCTGGGTCCAGTACCCCTCCAGCTTCTCCTGAGCTGCAGAGGCTCAGGGCAGAGAGGTGGAGGGAACTAAGTTCCTGCAGGAGGAGTGCTCGCCTCCAGGCCAGGAGAGGCGAGTCACCTGAGGATCGGGGCCGCCCTGTGCCTCGGGGCAGATAAAAGCCAGCCAGCCTCAGTCCCTAGTTGCGGGAGCAACTTTGTTGGTTGTCAGTTCCTGCCTGAACCCTGTCCTGCTATCCTGCCGGAGCTCCTGACCTCACCCGGCTACCTGCCCTGCATCCAGCTTCAACTTTTACGGACTGCCTCCGTACTGCACCTTCGACCTCGGACTGGACTCGGACCTCGCCTCTCGGTTAGCCCACAGGACCAGCACACATACCAGATTCAAAATAGAATGTTCTTTGATTAAAGACACTTATTTTGAAAGGTCCTTATTAGTTATTATATGTGTATCATGAAGCTCAGCACCTGTTAGCCAACTTTGAAAAACTTTTCATGCCATTTCAGGATTTGAAGCATGTGCTTTATCAGGGTCAGCAGGTGTGTTCCCATCTGCTTCTAGGCAACCACAATTTGTTGCAGGCACTCCCCCCGCCCCCCGCTACGTTTCCACATGTGATTTTCAATTTCCAGCTCTGAGCTTATTCGCACAACATTGGCACTTCGTTGCTCGTGTTTGCTCACTTCTGAAGTGGCGCTTAAAAATTGAGCTCATCATTTCAGCAGCCTGCCAACTTGCAATGTCTCTGCTCATTTTAAAAGGCCCTTTGAAGAAGTAACTTGCAATTTGGAGTTGGATTGAAAGATGAACTGCAATGGCTATGCCAATTGGATCAAGAGGGCGCTAAGAAAAGAATTCTGCCCAGGGACCACCTGTTGGTTTTGACCTATAGATTTTCTCTCAGGACTAACGTGCGACACAAAATCGAACTCCCTAGTTCCTTTTGTTGCAGTCTTCAAGATGAAATCAAGCAATCTGGGATGCTGGGAGACCAGCAGCACAGTAAAGAGTCTTGCTGTTTGTTTGTTTGTTTGTTTGGCCATATAGTCCATTTTTTCTGTGGCAAAAAAAATCAGACTCTAGTCAGTTTACAATCTAAAATATGAATCGCAGCGAAAATGAAAAACAAACCTAAGTACGACACATGACCCTCACTAAAAACTTTGTTATAAAACCAACAACAGACTCAAAACAAAACACATACACATTACATTCATTTTTATTTATTCCTTCGTTGTTCTTTCTTGTATACCACTTTTAATTTAAAAAAAAATTACCACAAAGGCCTTCAAAACATATAAATAAAAATCACAAAATAGAATCCCCACGATGGGGTGAGCTCCCATTGCTCAGTCCCTGCTCTTGCCAACCTAGCAGTTCGAAAGCAAGTCAAAGTGCAAGTAGATAAATAGGTACTGCTCCGGTGGGAAGGTAAACGGCGTTTCCGTGTGCTGCTCTGGTTCGCCAGAAGCAGCTTAGTCATGCTGGCCACATGACCCGGAAGCTGTATGCCAGCTTCCTCGGCCAATAAAGCGATATGAGCGCCCCAACCCCAGAGTCAGCCACGACTGGATCTAATGGTCAGGGGTCCCTTTACCTTTACCTTTACAATGGAAAACTACCCATAAAACCATAACAATCAGTGCAAAGCACTGAAGGATTAAGAGGCTGTGCAGGGGGCAGGAGTAAAATCAAACTAAGCATGTCCACCACATTTTTTGGAGGACAGAAAAAGTCTTAATCATCCAGCAGCGTTGTGGCCAGCTGTTGTCACATTTGAGGTGGCCCTGAAACATTTTCCTCTCCTTCTAGAAACCACATGGTTAACTGGCAAATATAATACCATGGTTGTGAAATTAGCATTGCAAACTTGCATTGTTACTTAGCAAAACAAACAGCTAAATATGTTATTGAGGTGTGAAATATGTTTTGTCATCTACGTGCTCAGCAATAACTCTGCTCATCTGCAAGGCAGTGAGCCATGTTGCTGAGGAATAAAGGCACAACTGCAACTGTAATCGCCAAATGAAGATGCAAGGAATGAAAATGCAATCTCAGCCGTAAACTTACATACCGTCTTGAATACCAAAGTTCATGAGCATTACTATTTTCTGAATAGCCACATCTGCATATTTTCACAGCCAGCTTGCAACCTGGATATGCGCCCTTTATATTTAAATTCCATTCTCTTGCCCTTTCCCTCCAAATTGTCCTATTGTCCTTCCCCTCTCATGTTCACTCATTATGGAGGGATTTCATGATGGCTTCCATCATCTCTGTAAAGTGCAACCCTTTCCTGGCAAATTTAACCTTCCATTTATAGAGAAAATCTGGTTTTCATGTACTTCTATGAAGTCATAATAATATCACACCACAGGCATTTTATTTTTATGTTCTTGTAGACAATACAATGATACCTCGGGTTAAGAACTTAATTCGTTCTGGAGGTCCGTTCTTAACCTGAAACTGTTCTTAACCTGAGGTACCACTTTAGCTAATGGGGCCTCCCGCTGCCGCCGCCACACAATTTCTGTTCTCATCCTGAAGCAAAGTTCTTAACCCGAGGTACTATTTCTGGGTTAGCGGAGTCTGTAACCTGAAGCGTCTGTAGCCTGAAGCATCTGTTACCCGAGGTACCACTGTAATGCTTCTAAATACCAGCAGTGGCGTAGCGTGGGTTGTCAGCACCCGGGGCAAGGCAAGTAATTTGCGCCCCCTAACCCGTGGATTTTAGCAGGGGGCAGAGAGCTGTGAGTGCGAGCGCGCCCCCCCAGATGTTGTGGCCGGTGCGGCTGCCCCCCCTGCACCCCCCACGCTACGCCACTGAATACCAGCTGCGGCATAGGAGAGAGCGCTCAGCCCAGGATACCTGAAGGAGCGTCTCCACCCCCATCGTTCTGCCTGGACACTGAGGTCCATCTCCAAGGGCCTTCTGGCGGTTCCCTCACTGCAAGATGTGAGGTTACAGGAAACCTGGCAGAGGGCCTTCTCAGTAGTGGCACCCGCCCTGTGGAATGCCCTCCCATCAGATGTCAAGGAAATAAACAACTATCTGATTTTTAGAAGACATTTGAAGGCAGCTCTGTTTAGGGAAGTTTTTAATGTTTGATATTTTATTGTGTTTTTAAAAAATCCTGTTGGAAGCCGCCCAGAGTGGCTGGGGAGGCCCAGCCAGATGGGCAGGGTATAAGTAATAAAAATTATTATTATTATGCTCAGGTGCTGCTTGAGGGTTTCCCACAGGCAGCTGGTTGGCCACTGTGAGAACAAGATGCTGAGCTAGATGGGCCATTGGCCTGGTCCAGCAGGGTCTTTCTATGTTCTTATTAAGCATGACATCATTTGCAGGTAAAAATATAACACTTGAAAACATTCCTTTTTCTATTTTTTATTTTTATTTTTTAGTAAAGCAGTATCGTTGCAAAGTAGTAACTGGAGCCAATAATAACCCACAACATAAAATATATAAACCTTCAAAAAAAGTGGGGAGGGGGTCTGACCTGACCCCACAGTTCTTAAAGGAATAAAACATATACTTCCATTCAGTGCTTTTATCTTTAAAAAATGTTTAGGGGTACTCAAGAAAATCACCATTTTATAGTTTAAATCAGGAAAAATAAATACAGTAAATGGACAAAGCACAAAGATTCACAAAATGTTTAGGGGTATGTGTACCCCTGTGACCCCCAGAAAAAAGTACTGCTTCCATTAACATAACTGTACTTTTGAGTGCCAGCTAAAAACATTTTTGTTTCGGCAAGCCTATTCAGATATGTAGAATGTTGACGTGTTTTAATCTGGTTTTTAGCTTATTAATGATTTTTTTTAATGTTTTACATAGTTGTCTTTCACTGCTTTTTATTTTATTTATTTTATTTTATTTTATTTTATTTTATTGTAACATATACACTGGTGATGACTGAACAGGAAAGAGACCTTGGGATTATGCTGAATGGTTCATTGATGTTAATTCAGTATGTGGTGACTGTGAAAAAGGTTAATTCCATATTAGGGATAAATTAGAAAAGAATAAAAAACAAATCTGCCAATACTTAACCATTCAAACCCATTGCTATGGTTCACATTCCGCAGCGAACTTGAGTCATTCCTCAGTTACACCCAACTCAGTTCCCTTCTGATTTGTCTTTGCCTTATTGTCAAATGAAGAAAGCTGGTGATTACTATTGCAGTCAGTGCGAAACTTTGTCATTCTTGTAAACAAGCTGATTCTGGGTGGATTTGTTTTCCTGTACTACCTTTCCAACACTGTTTACTTATTTACGACCGCTTCACCATCATCCATGCCAATTCACTTATTCTTAGACATTGCACCCTTAAGATTGGTTCCCAAATTTGAGTGCATCTCTCCATAGAGCCAATTTTCCACTTCCGATTGTGTCTTCTAGCTAGTTCTACAACCACATATTTGTGTTTCCTTGACTTAGCCTGCCCCCTGCTAACATTTTCTGTGATCTTCATCAGGTCAGTACTCACAGACCTGGCTTTAGTCTGTTTTTAAGATGACGTCTGAAACAGAACCAAGG